TCACTAACTTTGCAGAGAGGAGTTGAGTGGGTGCCTGTATTGTCTAACCATCTAATTTAGGAGTGAGACAGCAAGTCTAAACCTACTGCATCTTCTTAACCCCTAAATGCCTAATGCACTGAGCTAATCTCAGGTGCCCTGTGTACACTGGCTACATGGTTGAGTGATACCAATAAATCAGTGTCTTCATATCCACTGAGCTAAAGTTCAAGATTGAGTTCCGGCTTTAGGAGCACCACAGGGACCATCATGTTGATGCTGCTAACTCTTCTCCATTGTTTTGGGAAGGGGTTAAAAGTCTGGACCCAAGGCAGACTGCCCAGGGTCACATTTTAGGACTACCAGTCATGAGTTGGAGGTCTCAGGCAAATTACTTAACCCCTCTGTGCCTTGGTATCTTATTGCTAAAACAGGATGTGTGATGATAAATGCTCCTTAGGGTTGTTTGAAGGATTAATGTGAATCAATTACGTTAAGCTCCTATTGTAATATCTGGCACAGCCTTGGCCCCTAGTCACGTTCCGCATGAACAGGTCCGCAAGCAGCTGGCGCTGATGGCTCCAATGCTTTGCTGGCCAAATCTCGCCCCTGCTGAAACTTCATCTTGATGACTAGAAGCTCTTGCCTTCTACAGGATAAGCTCCAAGTGCCTTATCCTGAGGGACAAGGCTCTCCTCTCCAGCTCCAGCCTCCAACTGACCGCCGAAGCTGGAATGGCTGGCAATTTCTTGCACAGTTCATGCTATATCCAACCTTCAAGCAATGACAAAAATGTTCTCCCCAACGTTTCACCTTGTTAAAAAAAAGCTCTGATTTTAAAGGAACATTCTTTTAAGAACCCATAGGAAGGCTACTTAAAAAACAAGGCTGCAGACGTCATGTCCTTCGGAAAGTCCTCCAGGTTCTTAATCGTGGCCGTAATCAGTGTGTAAGTATTTCTGAGATTTGACCCAGGCCTAGTTTGCCTCCTTATTTTTTTAGTGGAATGTAGTCAGTCCACAATGTGAATTTCAGGTGCTCAGCAAAGTGATTCACTTGTACATATATATACACAGACATATATATATATATTTCAGATATATATATATATATATATGTATTTCAGATTCTTTTCCATTATGAATCATTACAGGAATCTGAACACAGTTCCCTGTGCTATAAAGTAGGTCTTTGTTGTTTATCTATTTTATATAAATTAATGTGTATCTGTTAATCCCAAACTCCTAATCTATTCCTCTCATTGCCTTTCCCCTCTGGTAACCACAGTTTGTTTTCTATGTCCATGAGTCTATTTCTGGTCTGTAAATAAAACTTGTATCTTTTTTTTTTAGATTCCACATAAAGGTGACATCACATGATATCTGTCTTTCTCTGTCTGACTTACTTCACTCAGTATGATCATCTCTTGGTCCAATGGCAGCATTCTTACACTACCACCACTTTTCATCCACCCACCCATGTCCGAACAGCCATTAAAGTTCTAAAAATGCTAATACTGCAAAGGAGACATATCACAGAGGCTCCCAGGGCCACTGTCTGTGGGGGTTGAGCCTTGCACAGAGATGCTTGGTCAGAGACCGTGGGGCTGAAATAGGTCCACGCTCAGCATTTTTCTAACTTACACAGGGACGCCTGATGGGCTAGCAGTGATGTGGGACCACTGCTGGTTTCAGATTCAAGCACTGAAGCAGCCAGTTGCCCCCTGTTTCCAGTTGATTCTTTGAGGACTATTTGTCAATTTCCTGGAAGTGGCTCTACCTGAGGAAAGTGTCCTGGCCCTTCGGTCCTGAGTCTGCAATCACCACTGGTTCATGGGAAATGAAATGCCCAGTTGTCCATGTCTCTGTCATAACCGTTATTGAGGACACCCCTGGCATTCCTTCAGAAGCTCATCTTTCTAAAAATTAGACAGCAGACCACTCATAATCTGTGTAGCAAATCCTGGGTCCTTCTTCATGGGGGCAGCTACAGAGAAAAGGTTACTATAATAGCCCTGGATTTGAAAGCTGAGACCATCTGTACCCCTATGTTACTCTTTGGAAAACAGGACCAGGAAATTTTGCAAGTCCTTTGGGAGTATGACTTAGGGTTGGAGACTTTTTAAAAATTTGTTGCAATCATGGTCACAATAGCTTATAGATTTTTTTGAGTGAACATTTAAATTCATATTAAAATATTTATCCCAGTAACTCAGTACTGTGGGAACTATGTACTCTGACTGATAGGAAAGTTTATATATCACTTAATCTGTATTAGTTTCAAGGGAAGAAAAACGACAGATCTGGGAGTCAGGCAGCTCTGGCTCTTCTGTTCCCCTCTCTGCCACAGCCTTCTGGTGTGACATTGAGCAAGTCATTGCCATCTCTGCAATGCAGATGAAAGGATGGGCTCAGTGGTCCCCGAGTTCTTTCGTGGGTGTGATGGGTGCTCTTTTAATCAAGTAACACGTTCACACAGTAACACGTTGCATCGCATTTTAGAGCTGGAAGGGGAGTTAATGATCCTCTGGTCTACACTCCTCATTTCACACGTGCTCTTCACAAAGAAGACAGAACAGATATTATTATCCTTCTTTTACAAATGAAAATACTGAGGCCTGAGGGGGTGAGTCATTTGCTCTAAAGGAGGTGAGCTCCGGCTCATCTTCTTGCTACATCACACCACCAGCTAGGCTTTATTGGGTCCAGTTTAGCCTCGTCTGGTTTCTGTGGGGCTTGCTGCTCAATGGAGATACCGAAGCACCAACTGGGTGTGCCCCGCGGCAGACCTCAAATGCTGGCGGTGTTAGGCTGTCCAGCAGACTGAGCGCAGAGTGCTTCATGGAGACGAGCAGGAGAAATACAAACCTGGGTCCAGTTTGCTTCTTACCAGAGGGACAGTCTACAGTGACAAACATGGAAACCAGGCAGTTTTCCCTGTTCTAAGAGCAGCAATGCTGGGTGACCAGGGTCAGGGGAGAGGAGTCAGAGCACAGTAAGCCATCCTGATACTGGTCAGTCTGACCAGCACGAGACAGTAGCCAGAAGAACAAAACCTACATTTATTGTGTCTACTGTATACCGAGGATTTGACAGACACTGTCTCGCGTACGAAATGAAATTTCTGAGGATGGAAGTTCAAAAAGGTCAGCAATTATAGAAAGAAACTTTCGAGAGGGAAAAACATTTAAGGAGTCTGAAAGCAGATGTAGTATTACATGGAAAACTGTGAAGTTTAGAATATGAAACTGGAAAGCTTACTGTGACAGTGGCAACTGCAGCCGCCTCGGATCTACTGAAAGTCCCCTTTTCTCTGAGTCACATTCAGGTCACCTGCCTCTGTCAAAACCAACTGAAATAGAGAAAATAGATCTTTGTTTTTTAAAAAAAGAGGGCTTTGGGGTCTTATAAGGGATCTTGGGTCAACCACTTTCTAGTGGCTCTGCCACTTCCTACCAGGGAAATCTTCACTGAGTCCCTCAACCTCTTAGAGCCTCAGTATTTTTATCTGTATGGTGGGTTTTTAAAAATAGGTTAGCTATAATAATATGTAAAGTTCCTTGAATAGAATCAACAGAGTCTAGGCTTTTCAATCAGAGCTGAAGGAAGAAAAAGAGGAGACGGGAAAGGAGAAGTCATTTATTACATTTATTATGTTTCATTAATGTTATTATTCTTCAAGATGTGGCTTAGGATCCTTTAGTAAATGGCAAAATTAAGAGCATTCTTCCACAGATTACCTGCCTGAGCTTTTTTTCTCCCCCCTGAGCCAAGCTAATTAAAAAATACCATAAATGTTCTAATTATATCATTGATATTTCTTTTCAATAATTGCAAAGGGACTGAAGCAACCATGTTAAAGGACACATTCATATGAAATGCAACTCACTGTGATTCTGACATTAATACTAATTTGTAGAATTAGTTGCATGGAGACTGAGTTACGTTCTTGGGACAAATGGGGAATCTGAGACCCCTCTTCCAAAGCCCAGGGTCTATCTCTCAGAGCATGTAGGAAGTGAAGGGAACTAGCAAGACCATCCAACTTAACACATTCCGCGGCATTTGGAGCTGGGGTGGGGAGAACAGGCTCCCTAGCTCATTTCACACTTCCTCTATACATTTCAAAAAACAAGGTGTGACTCTGCAGCTGGATTTTAAAAAGCTCTTCAGAAGACTAAATGCCAGGTATTCTGGAAACTCCCTGCCTTAAAGGAGCTTTCTGTTTCCTGGTGTCTGTCTGCTGTGGGGAATCCCAGACCACTCAGTGAAAGCAAGGGCTGTAAGCTTCTTGAAGGATGTTTCCTGCTCATTAAGGCTCTGCATGTCCTCGAGCTGCTGGCCTTTGCCATTCTGAGTGTAGGCATGCTGGGAGCTTGTCTGCGCTCTGCAAAACCCAAGGAAATTGGCCAAAGAGGAAGAAGGAAAGAAGGAACTTGGCATCCACTGTGTGCCCGTGTGCCTTCCTCCCCGCAGCCGCCCTAAAGTAAGAGCTGTTGTCTCCATCTGACAAATGAGAGAATCCAAGCTCCGAGGAGTTACCTTGTCCCGAGACCACACGGCTTCTCCAACAGTGCACCCCATCTGCTCTGAGATATCAGAGGTCGTGGCCCCTCTCCAGCAGGCCCTCCGGCCACCACCTCCTTGCTGCCGATTGCCCCAGGTTTGTTTTTTTTGGCTCCCTCATTATGAGTTCCACAGGATGATGCTAAGTCTAGTTATGCAGCCTTAATTGGTTTAGTTACAACAAGATAATTCCTTTTTTCTTCTCTTGGAGGCCTTTCTGTTTAAAGACATTTTAGCTGGAAGATGCTAATTATCAATGAGGGGAAAGTGACACCTGATGAGTTCATTTTCCATCTTGGTCCTTGGTTTCTCCTTTGAACTCCCTCTACCCGGCCCTCTTTCCCACTTCATCACTTGTCCCCCACCATCATAAAAGAGAGCTCGGCCCCGGCCGTGTGGCAGAGCTTCCTTCCTCACTTGCCAGGGAGTCGTCCTCTCTGCAGCTGTCTCGCAGGCATGGACACCCTGCGTGAGACCTTCCTCAGCCTGGAAGATGGCTTGGGCTCCTCCGACAGCGCCAGCCTGCTGTCCTCCTGGGACTGGAAAGACCGGGTGGGACCCTTTGAGCTGAACCAGGCCTCTCCCACCCAGAGCCTCTCCCCGGCTCCATCGCTGGAGTCCTGCTCTTCCTCTCCGGGTCCAGCGGTGGCCGGGCTGTCCTGTGGGCGTGGAGGTGCCAGCAGTGGGGGCAGCCAGGACTGCAGTGGCCTTGGGACCGGTGGCCTGGTGGAGGTAGACTACAATATGTTAGCTTTCCAGCCCGCTTATCTGCAGGGCGCTGGTGGCCCCAAGGCCCAGAGGGGCACCAAGGTCAGGATGTCGGTCCAGCGGAGACGGAAGGCCAGCGAGAGGGAGAAGCTCCGGATGAGGACCTTGGCAGACGCCCTGCACACCCTCCGGAATTACCTGCCGCCCGTCTACAGCCAGAGGGGCCAGCCACTCACCAAGATCCAGACGCTGAAGTACACCATCAAGTACATCGGAGAACTCACAGATCTTCTCAACGGCGGCCGAGAGCCTCGGCCCCAGAGCGCCTGAGCTCGGCCCAGGGACCCCACCTCTCCGGCCCCCTGGGCAGGGATGGATGAGCCTTAAAGACCTGGACTGGCTCACGGAACAGCAGCACATAGTGATTTTTATATAGTAAGCGTGGTGACCTTGCTGTCCGAAAAGCTCTAAGGGAATTCCCACTGGACCTGTTGGAACCACCAGAACATTTACCTGCCAGACAAGCAGGCACTTCTGCTTCCGGTTTCCCCACCATTTCTCAAGAGACTTGCCCTTTGCTAAGAGACAGATGGCTTTGTCCTTTTCTGTCTGTTCAAGGTATTTCCAAGGGTCAGTGATTTCAAGTGCATTTTTTCAATAGTGTAAAATTGCCACAATGATTTTCTTTGGCCATTTTGGTGTGGGGAGCTTTCTCTCTGTTGCTAACTAAACCTGTGCTTTGTGCAGGATCCAGGGTGACACCTGGATTCTTATTTAGAAAGATTAGGGTCAAGTAAAGAGCTATAGCGCTCCTGTTCTATTTTGTCTGTGTGCTTGTGTGTGTGTGTGTGTGTGTGTGTGTGTGTGTGTGTGTATGTGTTTGACTAAACTCAGACCTTTACTTTGGCAGGGACTAAAATTACTTAAATGCAGAAGAAATTAGTGTCATGGTGAATAGAAAGTCACAGGCAGACAGGTTACATTAAGACAGCCCCTCCTCTCTTCAGGGAAGGGGAAGGAGGCTGAAAACACTGGGGGCCAGAGGATGGGGGGTTGCGAGGAGAAGGAAGGGGAGGGAGACCCAGCAGCTCAGCCTGAACAGGCCCGGACAGAGCTGGGAGGGCGGGAGCTCCCTGGGCCAGGCCAGGTATGAGTACAACCTCATTGAATTCCTCCACTTACTCATCTCTCAAATGAAGAGATTGACTCAGAAAGAATAGGAGGCTAGTTTGATTCTAGAGATAAAGGAAAAGGGTCAGGATTAGAACTCAAGTCTACTCTAACTCCTTTAGAGATATTTATTTCTTTATCCACAGTGTCTCCCCCTCCTACCCACCCCCAAATCACCTCCTGTGAATCCACACCCCGCTCTTCACTGTGCCTCATCTTAGGGTTGGCGATGCAGCACCTTCAGCTTGACTAATTTGATGGCACAGGACATCAAAATGCGGGCTTTGAATTAAGGAGTTTCTAAAAAACTAGTGGGTTTTTTTTTAAGTCTGAATTTTTCTCCTTGTGGTTATTAAACATTTGCTTTTGTTTTTCAGTGAATTGTCTGTTCATGTCTCCTGTCATTTTTTTTCCTATTGGTGATTTTTCTTCTTTTGAATAACAAATTACAAAGGCAGGAGATGTGTCCACAATTTAATGTATTACTTCTCCACTTTTTTCCTTTGCTGATACAAACATAATACAAATAAATATAGGCATGTATTTTTAGATACTTTTAAAGAATACCTTTAATTCTGCAAATTGCTTTCGTTTTTTGACTTAGCAATATATAGTAAAAGTCCTTCCAGTTTAACAAGAATAAATCCATGATATAAGTACCATTATTATTTTGATTTTGTAGTTGAGGAAATTGAAGCACAGACTTGCCCTAAGAAGTCACACATGTGAAAAATATTTAGAAAGCAGAGGTTCGAACAATGCTTCATAGCACAGGTGTGCTAGGCTACACATGATCTGTTTAATGAATCACCTTTTGAATCATATATATTTTGTTTTCATTACAAAGAAATGCTGTAACAAACATCCCAGACAACTAGCTTTATCCACGGATATTTTCATTCGCCTGAAAGTTCCCATAAATGGGATTTCTGGATCAGAGTTGTGGGCACATTTTAAATTTAAATAAATACTGTTAGATGGCTTTTATAAAAATTTGTAGTTATTCATGGTCTCCCAACATTTTGCGACAGAATCAGCTGTTCCATGATGACACTGGATTTTCTCAATCTTCTGAAATTTTTAATGGATTAAAACATGTTTATGCTGTTCTTGTGATAATTTGAATTGCCCTATGGTCTATCTGAGATGGCGCATCTTTTTAAATTTTATGTGACTATTGTTCACTTTGATTTCTTTTCTATAACAGGCCAGTTTATACTCTTTGCCACTTTTCTATTGGGTTCTTTATGTTCTTGTTAATAAACTGGGAGAGTTCTTTGTACATTACATGTATTGAAAATATTTCCTTCCAATCTATCATTTTGTTATAATCTTTGTTTATGGTATCTTATATTTATGATTTTGATTCTGATATCTTTTGCTCTTTGAAGTGTTTCATTTTTGTATGATCAAGTTTCTCGTCTATTTTTTTTCTTATGGCTTGTGTGTTTCTTCCTTTTGCTTAACTTTTCCCAGTTCCAAGGCTATTCAAATGTTCTGATTTAAAAAAAATATTTTAATAGTTATTTATAGATGGATCTTTAATTTACCTGAAAATTTATTTTTGTCTATAGTGCAAAGAAGGACTCTAACTTTATTTCTGATTATTGTTTTTATAAATGCAGGATAAGTATAAACTTGTCACTGGGGGTGATGGGTGGTGCTGGGGCACAATTGCTACAATGTCATCCTGTGTATACAAATTTTATCAACTTTTCATAAATTTGCTGCTGATGTTTCAGAGAAGAATCTAGAATATGTTGAACAATATCAAGATTTTCTTCAAGAGACTCTACCCTGTGCATGCACAGGTGTTCATGTGAGAGTGTATGTGTGTGCACGTGTGTGCACGTGTACATGTGTTTGTTCCTGTGTATGTGTGTGTGTGTGTGTGTGTGCATGGTGTTTCACGTATTGAGGGTGAAGGATTAGAGAGGACTGTAATATGGGAAAGGGGGTTTTCAGCCTTTGATCAGTGTTTATATTGACTTATTTTCCGTGTCATTTTTAAAAAGAGTGGAACCCAAATGCCCTTGACTTTTGATTTTTTTCCAGCGCAAGCATTAAGAATGGTTTATCAAGAGCATGGGTAATTTTGGTTGCCTTGGGGACCAAATGTTGTGGATGGATTGGGAAGCCCTGTCGTCATTTTCAAAAAATTCTGGAAAGCCACAGACCCAGCTACCAGTTGGGCTTGCCTTCAGGACTCCTAAGGTCCTTACTGGAGGGGAGGCATCTGCAGAGCTTGGAGAAGGTGACAGCTTCCTGGGAGTAAGCCTCTGGCCCAGGGCCTTGTCTTACCGACACCACCTGCAGCCCCGGGTGGGCCCTGTCCAGGAAAGACAGCTAGCTGCCCATCAGCACCTGACTCCTGCAGCAACGCCCAGGGCAGCTGCCTCCCTGATGGGGAGGGTAGCTGGAACAGGTCCCGGATTCCCCCCAGCGAGCATTTAAAAGCTGTTGCCTCGGGCGTAGCTCAGGATTCAGAATAACTTATTTCTGGTGCTTGGAGAGGGAACCACAATTCATGGATTTCCTCTATGTTGTAGTCAGAATTTTCACATTTGCTATTTCATGCAATCCTCCTAACAGCCCCAGGAGGTGGGAACTATTAGTTTCATTTTGAGGACGAGGAAGCAAAGGTTTAGGACAACTAAACGGGGCAGAGCCACACGATGAGCCAGTGGCCCATGGTTGACTAGTTAGCTACTGAGGTAGGCGTCAGCTCTTAACTCCAAAGCTTGGGCCTGTCCTTTGGAATCATGCTGCCTGCTCCTCCGGCTGCTCAGAGGACGCCGCGTGCCCTGGGCTGGGCAGTCAGAGAGGTTTCTCAGCCAGTGCTCACTCCCAGGCTTCTCAGCCTCGTCCCTGCTTCCCCATCTCTGGGACCCTCATTGTCTTTTACCTTCTGAAGCATTTCTTGAAGGGGCTATTCTCATCCTTTAAAAGATGTCCCTTTGAACTTCTGCCTCCACCCCAAACATGTCCTCAGAAATTCCTTTCACTTCCCTGCTGGCGCCTAGGGTCCTTGTTAATCCACAGAGAAACCTGACTGACTTCTTCTGCTCATTTGTGTTCAATAAAATGTTCCACAATTCACACCGGGCTGAGGTTTCTTTGTTCTTCTTGTAGTTTCTGCTGCATTAGCTCATTGGGAGAGCGGAGAGCGGCGAGGGCAGGCTGGGGGGAGTCTCTGCAAATTGACAAGTTGACAGAATTGCCTTGACTTTTAAGATATTTTTTTAAAAAGATAGCAGAAGAGGCACATATAAATGAGCGCTGGTGCTGTTGTTCTGACCTCGCATTCCAGTAGCTTGGTATGTTCTGTGGTGACTGAGGCGTCCTTTGATTCCGTACACGCTCCAGGCTGCAGGAAGGAGCCTGGATCTGGGCCTTGACCCCGGCGGGCTCGGCCCTGGGCTGGCTTGACAGCCACCAGAGCTTGGTATCCGCCTCCTGTCCTCCTGCGGGGAACCCAAGATAACATCTGCTTTGCAAATAAAATACCAAAAACTAAGCAGTGCCTCTTAGAAAGACCTGATCTGAATATTTTGGTTCCAGAAAGTCCCTTGAACCCTGAGGAGGAAGGAAGCAAAGAACCTGAGAAGCCTGGAGAGAAAAGACAATTCCTTGCTCATCTCTGGGGTTTGGGACTCTCGACCCTCCTTTCCTCAGCAGAGTCTCCCATTAAGTTCTTTTCAGCTGAACACTATTGATTTCTGTTTCTCTTCATTAAGTGGGGTGACTGGCAGGGCTGGAGGTCAGGGGCGTGTAGGAGAGACGGAAGTCCAGAAGGAGCTGCGGTGAGCGAACCCCAGCCGGGGCAGCAGCAGTTGTGGGTTCGTTAGCTGACGGGTCAGGCTCGGGGTCAAAGGCTCTATCTATTTTTTCTCCTTTACTCTTAACACTAGGAGGAGATAGCGAATATCAGCCCACTTTGCAAATAAAGAAGCTCAGAGAGGCCAAGTCACCTTGCCCAAGGTCACGCAATTGGCATGGGGCCCAGGATTCCACCCACAGCTGCCTGACTCATTCTTTTCACAGCACTAAGCTCCATGTGCCGGAAATGGGCAGGAAACAAAACAAGTTGCAGGGAAGTCCGCGTGCGAGCCGTTTCCACTAGTCTGCGCTCTCATTTGAAAAGATTTGCATTTGCATGT